GTTGGAGGAATTGATCTGAAAGATTCTGATGCTATGTGTGTATCCTAACAGATAGTAAAAGGTGAATAATTATAAATAATTTCTAATTTACAATAAATATACCTTAATCAACAGTTTGGTCGTACCAGTAAACTTGACCTCATTGTAGCTGTGAATACGTCAAGTAAGTGACTGTCGTATCTTCTGTACTCATGACATTAGATGTGCAAAGTTATGTCGTTCTGTCTTGCTGAAGTATAAGGAACCTATCTGAGAATCCTAAAGCAAAAAGCGAGGAGTCTCGGATAACCTGCCTTGATAATACTTTATATCAAAAATTCACCACCTCTATGTTCTTTACACAACGAGGATACCATAAAATTAAAAACACTGTACAAGGTTTGCGCATCTGATCCTTTGAATAAGACTAATCATACTAATATTTAAAAGAACAATTGAAGACATATCAGCAAGTTACGACGAAACATTCCTAGAAAGTCTGTTTCAAGTGTCAGCTTTTGTTTTCATATAACTAGAATACTTAATTCTATTGAAACACAAACTGATAACAGTACGAACTTCTAGTTTATCAAATACATCTATAATAGTATGAAAGTTTACTCTCTGTGTACTTGCATAAAAACAAGTTATCCTAACCTTTATGCAGGTGTCCACAAACTCGTCGAAGGTCACCACACCGTCTTTGTTTTTATCCAATCGCTGAAAAAGTTGAAACTAATATTTAATTAATTATATATGTATTTACTCATTTTTTATTAGAACACACATAGAAATAATTGTATTTGTTTGTTCGTTGAATTTCGCGCATAGCTAATCGAGGGTTATTTGCACTAGTCATCCCTAATTTTGAAGTGATAGACTAGAGGGAAGGCAGCTAGTCAACACCACCCAACACCAACTCTTACATAAGTTACACTTTACCAAAGAAAAATGGAATTGATTGTCACATTTTAACGCCTACACGGCTGAAAGGGCGAACCTGTTCAGTGAAGGAATTCGAATCCCCCTGCAGATTGCGAGTCGAGTGCCCTAACCACCAAGCCATACCAGGCCTAATATTATTTGAAACCAGTGATACAGTTATTCTGTAGACCAAGTAGACCCCAGCACTCGAAACAAAATAATTTCTTATAGTGCTATAATTACTATATTTAAAGGCATTATTAGAGATTATAAAAGATAAATCGAGTAGAGAGAGAGGCTGCTAGAATTATTGGGTAACGAGGCTTCTGTAATTCTTGGATAGCGATGTTTCTGCAATTCTTGGATAGCGAGACTTCTGGAATTCTTGGATAGCAAGACTTCTGGAATTCTTGGATAGTGAAGCTTCTGGAATTCTTGGATAGCAAGACTTCTGGAATTCTTGGATAGCAAGACTTCTGGAATTCTTGGAAAGTGAGGCTTCTGGAATTCTTGGATAGCAAGACTTCTGGAATTCTTGGATAGTGAAGCTTCTGGAATTCTTGGATAGCGAGACTTCTGGAATTCTTGGATAGCAAGACTTCTGGAATTCTTGGATAGTGAGGCTTCTGGAATTCTTGGATAGCAAGACTTCTGGAATTCTTGGATAGTAAGACTTCTGGAATTCTTGGATAGTGAGGCTTCTGGAATTCTTGGAAAACGAGGTTGCTGTAATTCATGAATAGCAAGGCTGCTGGAATTGATGGATAGCGAGGCTTTTGAAAATCTTGTATAGTGAGGCTGCTAGAAGTTTTGAATAGTAAGACTGCTAGAATTTTTGAATGGTGAGGCTACTGGAATTCGTGAATAGTAAGGCTGCTAAAATTATTGGATAATAAGACTGCTGGAATTCTTAGATAGCGAGGCTCCTAGAATATTTGGATGGTGAGCCTGCTAGAATAAGTTGATAGTGAGGGTTCTGAAATTCTTGGATAACGAGACTTCTAGAATACTTGGATAGCGAGGCTCCTAGAATACTTGGATAGTGAGTCTGTTAAATTGAACATGTTACCAACTGATAACTAAACGTTTACTGTTTTGTCTATATCTTATTTTTGATTCTTCCTTTTTCAATGGATGTTTATCTCTCTCTATTTATAGTACTAAGTTCAAATATAATATTTACTTTTCACCTCATAAATACAACGCGAAGTGTGTTTGCATTTCTATAGGCAAAAAAGGGAAACAACCACTTGGACCAGTAAAGATCAACATCCTGTATCAATAACAGTTCTCATCCTAAATATCCTTAGAATAAATATTTAATTACACTAGATATTTCACGAAATAATCAATTTCTATACTGAGGTAGCGAATGTTAATGCCTCATTTGTTTCAGAAACAGTTTAAGCAGAAGATTTTTCATGATACTCACATGAACAAATTAGCAAACTAACTGCGTCGAACATATGTGCATACATAGAGTACTTTATACGTTTCATTGGAATCCTATCAGAAAGTAACTACCTCAGTCTACGTTCTTTTTTTCAACTAATCATGGGCCCAAAAGTGGCACAGCGGTATGTCTGCGAACTTACAACGCTAGAAACCTGGTTTCGATACCCGTGGTGGGCAGAGCACAGATAACCCATCGTGTAGCTTTGTGCTTATTTCCAAACAAACAACTAACCATGGAATTATTAT